GAATATACATAGGATGGCAGGCCTGTAAGGTTCAGGATTACAGGGGCATCTCTCGGTGCTTCAAGTGCCTGAAGTTTGGGCATGTCTCCAAGTATTGTAAGGACGAAACAATGACGTGCTCGTACTGTTCCGGAAAGCGACATGAGTACAAGTCATGTGAAAATAAAGGTAATAAGGTCAAACCGGTTTGTAGCAATTGTAAGTTGGAAGATAGACCACATGATCATGAGGCCGTGGACAAGAACTGCCTGGCGTATAAGATGGCTCTGGAACGTCTGATATCCCGAACGGATTACGGAGTTCAGGAGCTGTGAGGAATTACTTGTGATGCAGGTAAATCTAGGACGAGGGAGAACGGCAACGGATGAGGCACTTGATGCTGCATCCCGGCGCCGAATCCCGATAATGCTTATACAGGAGCCGTATCAAAATAGGAATGTGGCAAGTGGCTTGGGCAAATATTCTAACCAGGTAATTGCTGGGAATAAACATGATGAAGCTCCATGGGCATGTATAGTTATAACCCAGAAGGATTATAGTGGAATGATACTGAAAGATATTAGCACTGCACACTGTGTATGTGCATATATCTCTGGACCGCACGGAGCATTCTATGCTGTGTCGGCATATTTCCAGTACTCACTGGATATTGAGGCTAACTTACAAGAGCTGCAAGCCACGCTGCAGAGAATTGGTAGTCATAGGGTTATCATTGGGTTAGACGCCAATGCGGTGTCTCCACTATGGTGTGAAAACAGTGAGTATGCGGATGCAAGGGGAGAACAGCTAGAAGCGTTCATTTCCCAGTGGGATCTCCATGCGATAAAGGGCACAGGGTGCCTCTGCACCTTTAAGAAGGGAACCAGAAACATTGACTGTGCTTTGGTGGATTCTTACTTTATAAGCAAAAGCATAAATAGCGAAGTAATTGAGGATGTGGAATCAAGTGACCACAGGGCTATTGTGCATGCTTTTGGAGATTTACCAAAGCCTGAAAAGATTGGCAAGCCACGATATAACACCAAATATGCAAAATGGGCTAGATATAAGCAGCTAATAAATGATCAAGTGGTGCGGTTGAATCTTAGTAATGCCCTGCTTGATACACCAGAGCAAGTGGAGAAGCTTGCTCGAAAGGTGACTGATGTCATAACGGTGGCTGCTGAAGCATCGATGAAGAGGAAGAAGTACTTCCAAAAGTCGGTGCCATGGTGGACTACGGAGTTGACTGCAGTTAAAAGGCGGGTTAATAGACTTAGGAGAAGGTCGCAGAACAGAGATTTGACTGGAAATGATAGGGACATGGCAAAGACACTATATAGAGAGGCAAGACGAGAATACACGCGTGCTGTAGCTAGTGCAAGAGTTAAGAGCTGGCGAAATTTTGTAGAGGTGAATGACACAGCTAATGCTTTTGGTATTCCCTACAAAATAGCTGCAAATAAGCTAAACGCTAGGACGGTTATGGCCAATGTAACTAAGAATGGTGTAACCACAAAGAACTGGCAAGAGAGCGCCAGTCTGCTGCTTGACGAGCTCTTTGGTTGTGGAGACCAAACCAATAATAGGATACTGAACGATGAACTTCCAGATGCGGAGGAAATGATGTGGAGTAGTGAAGAAATAGTAAAGGCTATAAAGTCCTTTAAAAATGGCAAGGCGCCAGGAGAGGACTACATAGAAGTAGAAATGATTAAGAACATTATAGATACACGTATGCTGGAAGTTCTGAAGCTATTGTATAATGGCTGCCTGTTGCATGGAGTCTTTCCGGATATCTGGAAGACGGGGGTTTTGAGAGTACTGCTCAAGTCGACGGATAAGGACCCAACAGATCCGAGATCCTATAGACCGCTCTGTTTGCTCTCAACACTTAGCAAGGTGTTAGAAAAATTAATAAAGAAGTCACTTGAGAGATGGACTACACATGCATCTTATTCTTCGAGTAGACAATATGGTTTCAGAATTGGCAGGAGCACTGTTGATGCTATTACTGAGATGCGTAAAATGGTTGCAGAGTCGGATAAGACTATGGCTCTTGGTGTTCTGTTCGACATTACTGGCGCCTTCGACAATGTTCGATAACTCACCTGCCGAAGCAACTGGCCCTGAAAATGGATGGCGCTGAAGCGTCGCGCCTATACTCTGCCGTCAGCGGCAAGAGAATCAAAAGTTTACTTTTTGATATGAAGCCCTGACGAGTAGGAGGGTCGCGGCGGTGTGCGCAGAAGGGTCTGGGCGTGAGCCTGCCTGGAGCCGCCGTCGGTGCAGATCTTGGTGGTAGTAGCAAATACTCCAGCGAGGCCCTGGAGGACTGACGTGGAGAAGGGTTTCGTGTGAACAGCCGTTGCACACGAGTCAGTCGATCCTAAGCCCTAGGAGAAATCCTATGTCAATGACGGTGTATATTCATAAATATTAAATTTTTTTTTTTCCGTCAGTGTCGCATCCTTCTCTGTTGGAATGTATGAGGTCGTTCGGTGTCCCGGTTAAATTTGTGGACTATGTCGCGGGGGTTTATCGCAAGGGTTATACGATTCTGCAGGGGCAGGGCTGGACTTCGGAGAGGATCTACCCTAAACGGGGTGTCCGACAGGGTGATCCTCTATCTCCACCAATCTTTAACCTCCTAACCCACAGACTGCTAGGTTGCCTATCAGGGGAAGTGGGGGTTAGGGTTGGAGAGAAGTTTACTAATGCTTCTGCCTTTGTGGATGACACAAACCTGTACGCGATGACTCCTAAGGGGTTACAATCCTCTATAGATGTAGTCTGCAAATTTCTCTCAAGTTGTGGAATGTCAATTAACATTGACAAGAGTTTCACACTTGGTTTCCGACCATCCGGAAAAGAGAAGAAATCAACCGTGGACATTACGTCTTCCTTCAAGATTGGTGGCCAAATGTTGCGGAAAATCACCCGTCTGGATGAATGGAGGTTTTTGGGGGTTAGGTTCAACTGGGCTGGAAGAGTGAGAATAAAGCCCCTTAATTTGTTAGGGGAAGATCTCTCTCTATTAACAAAAGCTCCTCTTAAGCCACAACAACGGCTTTTTGCTCTACGTTGTAACCTGATCCCCAAACTTTACCATCAATTGGCCTTGGGTAATGTACTTGTTGGCTCGTTAAATAGAGTCGACATAGCGGTAAGATCAGCTGTACGGGATTGGCTGAAGTTGCCACCTGACGCGCCCAAGGCCTACTTCCATTCGTCCGTAGCAGACGGTGGTTTAGGCATTCCTTCAATGAGATGGATGGCTCCCTTGTTGCGAAAGAGACGGCTTGAAGGACTGCGCACAGAAGAGATCGGTGCAGCCAACTCGTTCCTTGAAAGAGAGATCGCTACCTGTGAACGCAGGCTGGTGGATCGAGGGAATCGTCTGGCTTCGCTCAATGATGTTAGGAAACTCTGGTCCGGAAAACTCCATTCCTCTGTGGATGGATGTGGGCTTAGAGATTCTATCGCTACTCGCGGTCAGCATCATTGGGTGAGCGATGGCACAAAGTTCTTGACTGGCAGGGACTTTATTAATTCCTGCCGGTTGAGAATAAGTGCATTACCGACCAGATCGAGAACCTCTCGAGGGCGAGTTAGGGATAGGGGTTGTAGAGCAGGCTGCTCTGATCCGGCCACATTACATCGTGCGCCGGAAACCCTTAATCATGTCCTTCAGGTCTGTCATCGCACACACGTGGCACGTATTAGCCGGCACGACGCGGTGGTTAACTACTGCGCTCAAAGGCTACGTGCGAGGGGATGTATGGTACATATTGAACCTCGCGTAAAAACCAGAGAAGGCCTTCGTAAGCCTGATCTGGTGGCAACTAAAGATCAAGTTGCGGTAGTCATTGATGCGCAGGTTGTTGGTGAGCAAACGGACTTAAGGTCCGCTCACTGTAACAAGGTCCGCTCACTGTAACAAGGTCCGATATTACCAAAGTAATTCGGAGATCACCGAGTTCGTGTCCGGCGAGTATGGGATTCCGGTGAACAACATCTCCTTCACGTCAGTCACCATTAATTGGAAAGGGGTTTGGTCCCCTTGCTCAGCACGGGATCTGAGTGGCTGGGGTTTTGTCCAGAATGACATTAAGACCATTTCGTCCAGGGTGCTTATAGGCGGGTTGGCTGCCTTTAATATCTTTAATGCCAACACCGCGACTGGCCCTGGAATTCGCAGAGGAATCGGGTGACAGAAGAGGAGGCCGTTGTCGATTCATGGTACCGCCTGCCATACAGGCGTAATATTTTTTAGGGACCAGCCTTCACCCTGGCTTAATTTTATTGTTTTTGTTTATGGGTGATGAGCTGGCGTTTAGAAAAAAAAAAAAAAAAAAAAAAAATAGCCAAATGCCTCGTCATCTAATTAGTGACGCGCATGAATGGATTAACGAGATTCCCGCTGTCCCTATCTACTTCCCCCAGGGAGAGAGGTGTATTGCCTCTCTACGGGAACTAGCGATCCCGGGGTACCTGAGCTGGCAGAGCTGTGTCGCCCGGCGGGCGTCCCAAAAGTCAAATGGTGTCAAAGTGAAGAAGCCGACCGACAATGGATAAAGGACGTTGGCATTGAGGGAAGGCCTTTAAGAGTTACCTTTGATAAGTCAGACTGACAAGGTCAAGGTCACAGAGAGCCCTGTTGAATCAAACTGGACTCTTGGAATGGTAGAGTGCTTGTGCGTCCCAGAATGAGGATACAGAATAGAAACGGGGTTTGATGTCCCCGGCTGGCGTATAGTACACAGGCCCGGGTCAGTCTAGCCAACAATGACCTGGCTGCCTGACCATGCGTCGAAAATGCGACGGTGTATCAGTGACGTGTGGCGCACGTACTAGGCCCTGCTGCACCGAATCGGGGGATATTCCGAGGTCCGCTGGCTACCCTAAGCACTCATATCCTGAACAAGAATGAAGGTTGACAAAACTTGACTCTGAAATTGATACCTCGAAGTCTGATGGACAAAGTTGGCTCATCCCTCAAAAAACCAAATTCATGCAAAATGACAAAGACAATGGAAAATAGTCTCAAAACATCACCAAACGAATCCGGGTTCCTAGACCCGAACGATGTTGAAATGTGCACACTTAGTCGTGCGGAGAAAAGAAGGCTGAGTACTTCTTCAGCAAAGCAGTCGAACACAGAGTCAAGTGACTCAACAGCATCCGAGGCTCGCTCCAAAGATACAAACTCTGCTAAGAAGAAGAAGAAAAAGCAAGATCGAAAGCTGTTGAGGGAGAGTTCAAGCCCGAAGAAAGCTGAGAACACAAAACCTTCGGAGAAGAAGTCAGAAGACATATCAGTCGATGACACTGCTTATTCAGAAGCCGAGAAAAAGGCAGAAGAAGAAGCAAAATTGAAGGAAGAGAAAAGAGAGCAGAACCTCAGACTGCGGGCGAAAGCAGCCAAGAGGTCTCTCTTAGATCTATTGAAAAAATCTCCGGAGGTATCGAAGGAACTGAGCAGTGAAATAATGGAAGAGGTGGAAACACTCGATTATCAAAGCCCCTGAAGATCGAAAGGACGAGACAAGTGAACAAACTAAGAAGCGAGTACTTTCGCTGGTCAACCCAGCAAAGGAAAAACTTCAAGTACGAGGGGTTAGAATGATGCGTGATGGAGGAATTGCCGTGGAAGTGGTCTCCGACCAGGACCTCGACAAGATTCTCTCGAACGAACAGCTGAAATCTGATGGATATGAAGTGAAGAAAGCAGGAGCGGCCAAGCCGACAATCCTCATTCACGACGTTCCAACAGAGTTGAACGAAGACGAAGTTGTCAAAGCCGTTCTGGATCAGAATGACAACTTGAAGTCGACCCTGAACACAGCTGAGTTTAAAAACGACTTTAAACTAAAGTTCAGGATGGGAAAAAGAGACGAACATCTCACAAACTGGGTTGCCGAAGTCACCCCAGAAGTGAGAAACTGTCTCCGAAGTACCAATAAATCTCGAGTCTACATAGGCTGGTCTGCCTGCAGAGTTGAAGATTTCCTTGCCCCAACAAGATGCTTTAAGTGTCAGTGTTACGGGCATGTGCAGAAATTCTGTAAGGAGAAAGAACTTTGTTGCAACTTCTGTTCAAAGCAGGGGCACAAAGTCAAAGACTGTCCAGACAAAGAGGCGAAGAAATTGCCGACATGCCCTGCATGCAAAAAGGCGAAAAAGAAAAGTGACCACAGAGCTGGCAGCAGTGCCTGTCCAGCTCACAAGTCTGCAATACAACGAGTATTAAGCAGAACCGATTATGGGAATAACACCCCATAATACTCTCGAAACGTGCAACTTACGTATGATGCAGATAAACGCAGGGCGGGGCAGGAACACTAGTTCCGCTATCCGCCAGCTGTCGAACGAACATGGAATACAGGTTGCTCTCGTTCAGGAGCCATACGCCACAAAAGGCAAAGTTTATGGTTTTGGCCTTGCTGCTAAAACCATAATTGGTTCCAAAAACAACGAGCAACCATGGTCTGCCATAATTGTATTCGACAAGAGACTGACGGTCATGCGGCTAAGCCAAGTGAGCACCAGTCATATTGTCTGTGCACAAATTGACAATGGAACCTTTGACGTATACGTCGTATCCGCTTACCTTCAATACTCTCATGGAGTAGAAACGTACTTAGAGGAATTGAAAGTAATTCTAAACCTTTTAAAAGGAAAAAGAATTATCCTCTGCCTTGATTCGAATGCCAAGTCTCCGACATGGTTTTCTGATAAATTAGACGATAAAGGTGTGAAAGTAGAAGAATTCATTAACGAAATGAATCTCTACATTTTGAATTTAGCCGACGAACCCAAGACATTCTCCTCCACTGCTGGCGAGAGCAATATTGATATATCAATTTGCACTGACCAAGCTGTCAGACTCGTTAAAGACTGGAGAGTAATCGAAGAATGGTGTGAAAGTGATCATCGACCGATACTTATGGAACTAGAATCCATAAGACGGAATGATCTAGAAAGAGAACACCTAGATGGCAAACGGTTTAATACCAACAAAGCCAACTGGGAAAAGTTCACAAAAACACTTCTTGACAAAAGTCATGAGCTCGATACGAATTGTCAGAATAAAATGGACGTCGTACACCTCGCTAAAGAAATCAGAAGGATTATCACCTTTGCTGGTAGAAAATCCATACCTATGCGTCGAGACAAGGGCCCTGGTGTCGCATGGTGGACACAAGAGCTGACAGACCTAAAGTCTGCAGCAAACAAGGCAAGAAGGAATTTCCAAAAAACTAAGGAACCTGAGAGAAGAAGCATACTTAAAATAGAGTATAGGAATACACGGAATAAATTGAAAAAGAAGATGAAAGAAACTTCAAGAGAAAGTTTCAAACAATTCATCTCAGAAACGTCAAAGGATCCTTGGGGGTTTGCTTACAAACTTTCATGTAACAAACTAAGAACCCAAAGTGCAATAAATACAGTTAGAACAGAATCTGGGGAAACTCAGAATTGGAAAGAAACAGCGGGTGTTCTTCTTGATAATCTCTTTTGTTATGATACAGAAGAAGGAGAGAATGAACTGCAAAGTCTGAAAAGAAGCAGACTGCGTGAACCTAGTGAAAACTTGGGGAACCAGGATGAACCTTTCTCAGACGGTGAAGTTTATAAAGCAGTCGAAAAGCTGAAGAACGGAAAAGCTCCCGGATGGGACGCCATTGAGGTAATTATGATCAAAAACTCATGGCCCGTATTGAAAGTCCAGCTAACTGCTTTATATAACGGCTGTTTAAAACATGGTATATTTCTAAATGAGTGGAAGAGTGCAAACGTTGTAACTCTCCTCAAATCGAACAAAAAAGATCCAATGGATCCCGCATCATACAGACCAGTATGTCTACTCCCAATCATGGGAAAGATACTGGAAAGTCTCACGTTAGAGAGAATAAAACGAGTGGTTGAACCTAAGCTATCCGAAATGCAGTTTGGTTTCAGACCTAATCGCTGCACAGAGGATGCTATTAGAACGTTCTTACACCTTAACAGCAATGTAGTTGAGAAACATGCTGGTGCAATCTTCATTGATATTGTCGGAGCCTTTAATAACCTTTGGTGGCCTGATGTTATTCACGAATTGAAAGAGAAAGACTGTCCTGCAGGGGTCCTTGGCTTAGTACAAGATTTCCTGAACAACAGGTCAGTCAAATTCCAGACCAGAAATGGTAGCGTGGAAAGAGAAGTGAATAAAGGAGCTCCTCAGGGATCAGTGTTAGCAGGAATGCTCTGGGACATTGTGTTCGATGGTTTGATAATAGCGGTCAGAGAAGCAGGTTTTGAAATCGTTGTCTATGCTGACGACGGTGCTGTCCTGATCCATGGAAAGACAAGACGAGATCTCGAGTTGAAAGGAGAACAAGTGCTCAACATCATTAACAATTGGTGCAACGAGCACAAAATGAAGTTGTCACTGTCGAAAACTGTTATAATGTTGACGAAAGGAAACTTAGACAGAAATCGACCTCCGAGAATCGTCTTGTGCGGAAAGCCAATTAAAGCTGTGAAAGACTTCAAATATCTTGGAGTCACACTAGCAACTGGTGATAAGCACATCAAAATAGATGAACACATCCGTTCCACGGTGTTGAAATGTAGAGCATTATTTTCTCAGTTGCGTAGACTTGCGAGAAGGGACTGGGGTATAAAGTTTTCAGCAATGAAAATGATATACAAAGGTCTCTTCGTTGCAATCATCACATACGCGGCTGCAGCATGGTTTGAAATGCTGAATGCGAAACACTGGAAACAATTGAAGGCCCTCCAACGATTTATTTTAATCGGGGTAACAGGTGCTTATCGAACGTCACCAACAGAAGTTCTGCCAGTGATAGCAGGAGTCTTGCCAATTGAATTCGAGATCAAAAAGAAGCACTATTCATACATGATTCGAAAGGGTATGAGCTTCAAATTGAACGAATATGAATTTGATCCTCTCATTTTCGAGGATAATTCAGAACGATGGATTAAGCGTCTTAAAGACGCATCCATCAGATCAGTCGTACAAGAACTTGAAAGTGACTGGCAAAAAGAATGGAGACAATCCACTAGGATTACTCGAAAGCTCCTTCCAGATGTCAGCGAGAGACTAAAGTACACTTGGTTGAAAACCGAATCATTACACAAGTCAGTTCCTCACGGGACATGGCAAGTTTTCACAAAAACTAGCTCAGCTAGGATTGAAAGTAGACGCGAGTTGTGAATGCAATGAACCGTTAGAGACAGGTGAACATGTATTGATTGAGTGCCCAAAGTGGAATGAACTCAGATCGAACCTCAGAAAGATGCACGAGCAAAAAGGTCTAACTTGGCCAGTTGAATTAAAGCTGCTAATGCACAAAGAGGCATACGCACTGTTTGAATGCTTGGCAAGGGACATAATCCGCGCCAAAGAGATTGAGGAGTTACTGGTGAATTAATTCATCACAAGCTCCTCAATTTACCGTGTGGACATCGGTAGGCGAATAATTCCAACGTTGCCCTCTGACATGTCGTAGGAGGCGACTAATAAGAGGAAGGGGTGGCTAGGCCCGAGAATCAGATAGGATCCTCAATCTGGCACTCGCACCTGAGTCTAATGGTACCACGGGGATCAGGTGCCCTGGGAAGCCTTCACTACTCACGTAGGGAAGGAATCCCACCTGGTCACTTGGTGTAGGACTCGTGGTGGCAGTGGTTAATAGCTCACATCGCTTAGAGCAAGATATTGGAGAAGAAGCTGATACATAAGAGATCAAACTTCTTCGAAACTGTCGACGTGTGAGTTGCGGTAAAACAACTCGGGCAGGAACCTGCATAGTTCCTAGGGAATGGAAAGATCCCGCCTTATGTCGGAGGTCCATAATGTTTCTATCTAAAACTTATGGAAAACGGCTATTTTGAATCAAAGTAAGAGTCAGTGCTGTAGTACGATGACTATTGAACGCAAGTTCGAACGAAAGATACACAGTGAGAGTCACAAATCAATTTGCGAACTACTGGATAAAAGAGATTAGTTGAACGAGGATTATTGTCCCTGAGAGTCATACCGTTGGTAAGCCGATAGGCCAGGTACAACGGACCCAGACCGACCTCTTTTTAGAAGGTACTCCGAATGGATTAACGCATTTCCCGCTGTCCCTATCTACTGTCAAACTTGGTGGTAAGGGAATCAAGTATTCGCATGTGGTGAAATACCTTGGAGTCCACTTGGGCACGCGAATGACAGTGGCGGAACATGTGAGATGTGTGAGCGCAAAGGGAAAGAATGTCTTCCACAAGATGGGGGCCATTGCAAGTAATACTTGGGGTTTGAGATTCTCAAGTACCAAGTGCATTTATAACGCGGTCTTTGTACCGATTGTCCTATATGGCATAGGAGCATATGGGCACTTGATGATGCATAGGCAGCGGAAAACGATGCTATCGGCGCAAAGATGCGTACTAATAAAGGTGTGCAGATCTTATAGAACTTATAGAATCTTATAGATCTTATAGTGTCACACGAAGCGCTTCATGTCATAGCAGG